GCAATACATTTTTATTTAAAAAATATTACCAACTATACATTTTTAGTAAAAAATATTGTACCAGCAATACCTTATTATTATTAAAAAAAAATATTACCAGCAATACATTTTATTAAAAAATATAATTCCAACAATACCTTTTCTATTAAAAAAAATATTACCAGCAATAGATGTTTTTATTTTAAAAAAGATAGTACTATCAATACATGAAAAAATATTACCAGCAATCTAATTTTATAAAACATTATTACCAGCAATGCATTTTTATTAAAAGATACTACAAGCAATACATGTTTATTTTTTAAAAAAAATACTACCAGCGATTTATTTTTATTATTAAAAATTATGACCAACAATGTATTTTTATTAAACAAATGATATTACGAGCAATACATTTTTATTTAAAAAACATTACCAGCAATATATTTTTATTAAATTACCAACAATACATTTTTATTAAAAAAAAATATTACCAGCAATACATTTTTATCAAAAAAGTAATATTACCAGCAATAAATTTTTATTAAATTAAATATTACCAGCAATACATTTTTTGAAAAATAAAATATTGTCGGAAGTACGTTTTTGTAAAAATTATAATCCTCCTGTTGGTATTAAATGACCCATAAGGAGTTGATGTGCCTTTAAATAAACAAGCAAAACTGTAACTGTTAGTCTGTTGATAGCTGTCCGTCTGTCTGATCTGGCCTGTTTATTTACCCAGGGATGCGTAGGTGTATGTGTGAACATGTGCGTATTTGTGCGTGTGAGCTTTTTTTGGCTTAAATTCCTATTTCCTCAGCTAATCAACGAAGCATACAAAGGTATTTCATGATCTCTCAGTGTCTGCCCAAACATATTTTTGATTGTCTATCAAATTCCAACAAGTTGGCATCAATATCTTGGAAGAGAGTAAAATAATCTGGTTTAAATATACCTCGGAAGAGGTGTTGAAATATTCGCAGCCTGGCCTAGAAGGGATCTAAAAAAGAAAAACGTGATTTGGCGGGAGTGGGTCAGTTCGGGAACTTTACACCACCTCTTCATGTATACATTGATTTGAGATGATGAGCGACATATCAATATCCATAAAATGAATCATACCAAGTGGCAGAAATACATGGAAATTTCAGTGAAAATGAGAAAATCATTAACATATATATACAGATATATATATATATATATATATATATATATATATATATATATATATATATATATATATATATTCCTCAATCCAATTGGAGAGCCGAGTTCGAATTCTAGTCGAATCCATTACATTCACTTACATTCTAATAACCTTGGAAAAGGTGTGAATCCTCTTCTTCTCCTCCCAGCTATTGGTAAATAGCAGGGCAAACTGGGTTCTATAGCCTTGGATAGCAACTGGTCTAGAAGGACAATTCAAAACTTGCGGAGGGTCGTTTGGGGACCTTGTGGCACGAAGTGCACCAGGTCTCTGTATTCGGCCCTTCAAAAGTGTGGATGGTCCTGCACGAAACCTTCACCACTATAAGCAAAGTGCGCAGGTATGCAGAAAATACAAAAGAACACGTTGTGTGCATAATCCGGGGTTCCTTAGTATTTTTGTTTTTATTTTTAAGAAGACAGTGCTCCATACAGAAATAGAGCTTTATTATAATAATAATATTTTTTGTTTAAAAATATGATTCCTTCGCTACATAAGAGTTCTCATGTTTCAAAAAACAAATTGAAATTCAGTGCAATACGATTTGTATATAAAACACCCACTTGAATAAACAAATAAATAAATAGATAATCAGATGGACAATAATAAAAGACAATTCTCCAGACACATAACGGCTTGTAACGACAAAAATATGCCTCACTGGGAACCAACTAAAGGGTGACCAAACTTTAGCCTTGGAAATAGATACCCTACCCAACCTTAGCAAAAACTCTCAGAAGATGATGAATCTATTGATAAGAATTAATTCTCTGACCACTTAACGAAGGAAAATAGTCTAGCCACTCCCACAATAACGTAAACCGAGAGATAGCTTATTCCTAAAATTTCACTTGAAGATGAAACGGGACTAAACATCACAATTCAACTTAATTTTAATAATTATTTCGATGGTTTCGGCTCTCGTTTTTTGAAACATAAGAACTCTTATGTAGCGAAGGAATCATATTTTAAACAAAAAAATATTATATATATATATATATATATATATATATATATATATATATATATATATATATGAATAGTAATACTTTAATTTTTAGTTTATTTTAGCTTTAATTTTAGTTCATATATATATATATATATATATATATATATATATATTATTTAAGAAATATTTTACATCGCGAAACGGAAAAATTTCTGTTTTGGAACTTTAAATTTGTTCCATTATAAAGCGATTTTGGGTAACTTTTGATGAAAATGATTTACTTTATAAAACAGAATGGTATTTTATTGAAGCTTTTAGAAGGAGGGGAGGAAACAAGATTTCAAAATTTTAAGGGTATGTTCTCGTTGACCAATCAAAAAAGACAGATCAATGCTAGAGCAGAAAAGTGAAAAAAATGTAGGTCAGAGATTTTCAGGGAATTGTGTATGTTATTCATGCTTGTTTAGATGAGCTGTCAATTTTAGACGTGTTACCATTACTTCCGATTAATACACTGATATATATATATATATATATATATATATATATATATATATATATATATATATATATATGGCATTTGTTCTGCCTGATGTATAAAGTGCACAAGTACTATTCATGTATTTTTTAATTGTATTACCAGCTTGTGACTGGAGGGATAATTCCAAGGAGGATATAAATCCAGGGAGGGCTCAATGTATACTACAGAACATACTACTACTACTACTACTACTACTACTACTACTACTAATAATAATAATAATAATATATATTCATATATATATATATATATATATATATATTTATAAGACATAAATATATTTGTGTATACATATATATATATATATATGTTTGTATATATATACACATACACACACACACACACACACATATATATATATATATATATATATATATATATATATATATATATATATATATATATATATATATATATATATATATATATATATATATATATATATATATATATATATATATATATAATAATGGATAGCAGCTCGGATTGAGGAATCAGAGAGCCGAGTTCGAATTCCAGTCGAATCCATTACATTCACTTACGTGCTAATACCCTTGGGAAAGGTATGAATCCTCTCCCTCCAGCTATGGGTAAAATAGCAGGACAGACTGGGTTCTATAGCCTTGGATGCAACTGGTCTAGGAGAAGGACAACTCTGAATTCGGAGGGTCGTTTGGGAACCTTGTGGCATTCGGTGCACCAGGTCTCTGTATTCGTCCCTTCAAAAAGTGTGGATGGTCCTGCACGAGGCCTTCACCACTATAATCAAATCTCATGTGCCGGTGTCGGGCTGTCGGTTTCCTGGGAACTGATCTGCTTGGCCCTCATACGTCGAATCTCGACGGGAGAGTCGATTATTATATATTAGGTTACTTTTAGGAGTTTTTAAACCAAACTAAATTAATTGATGTAATCTGCAGTTGAATTAAAAATGTACATATGAGATTTTTAGTCTTACGCTTAAAACCATGATTTTCAGTGCCTAGACCTGTCCTTCATTTCCCCCCCCCAACAAAAAAAAGAAGAAAAATCGTATAAAAAATTCGAAATTAGGACTTTAAATTAAGAAACAGGTTGCAACTGTTTGTCGAAATATTACTGGGTTTCCAGCAGAAAGCAAAATGGAAATGTGTTTTTTGTTAAAACGCATGTTTGATGATGCGACCTAACTGTTTTAAAATAAAGAAATATAAAATCTCAGTGAAGATATGTTCTTTCCAACAACTGATAATCGATAAAGAAAACACTAAATCCGTGAAGCCAAGTGTTATTGAGTCATTTGTACAATTTTATGACGGCATAAAAGGATATCTTTACATGTGCCCAGGTGACAGGGTAATTGTCCTGCTAAACGTACGTAATAGCGGTTTATTGAATAAGTATTCCCTTATTAATGTGACAAGTTTACAATAAATGAGCACTCATTTAAAGGTATTTTCATTCAGTCTTTAACACTATCATAATTATTCATTTAAATATTAAAACTAGACGATGTCAAGTGAACTAGAAGTCCTACCAGGATTTATCATTGACAATAAATCTGAACAACTTATGATACGCAGATGACACAGTGTCAATGGCAGTCATTGAAAGAAAACTGTAGACAATAAAAGAAAGTAAGAAGAAAAGAAAGACTATAAATTATAAGAAGTCAGTAAAGTATGCGAACAACGTTTTGGTACCAAGAAATTACAGACATTGAATCTGGGAAGCAATTAACGGAAAATACGACGTAGAAATCCGAAAATACTTTGGAATAGCAAAAAATGTCTTCCAAAAGCTTAACGCAATATTAAGAAAGAAGAAAATGTTTATTATATACCAAGAAAAGAGTGCTAGGCTGCTATGTAATGCCAATCTTCCTACATGGCAGCGAATGTGGGGCAATTTCCTCGCAAATGAAGAGGAAGTACGGAACATCAGGGATATGATTCTGAAGACGACATAAGGAAAATATCATGGACTAAACAAAGAGGAACTCTCTTGTCACTCTTTCAACATCATAATTCACCATTAAGAAAATATTCTTCGAATATGGTAGTGTAATCGTGACATCTGTCCTTCTTTACGGCAGCGAATGATGGACGATTTCCTCACGGATGAAGAAGAGACTCGATGCGACAGAAATATGATTCTACAGAAGAATGCTGAGGATTTCGTGGACCTAGCGTGTGATGACAGAACGTGGTCGGTGCGGGGGGCAGAAACAGAAGGAAGGACCTTATTGAGAGCTGCAAGGGATAGAGGGAGGTGGAGAACCATGATCACCTACGTCCTAAAAGGACATGGCAAATAAAAAATCGTGTGCTGTGTAAATTAAGATGGCGAGTTTTCTTCTTTCTTTCTTTCTTTCTTTCTTTCTTTCTTTCTTTCTTTCTTTCTGTTGAAACTTGAATAAAGCATGGAATAATAATAATACAACACAAAATGTACTTAAACAAAATGTATTAAAACAAGAACGTGTACACAATATTTACAGATAGTTTGGTATATTCTTGGGAAGACCGTTCCTGTAGAATGGGTTGACTTAGTCGCAGTCGGGCAGAGTATCTGGATTGGATCTCTTCTTCCTCCCTTCGTCTTCCCGGTACCAACCCATATTTATATGGTCGGTACTCCACTATGTAAATTAGGTGGATCGTACCACAACACTTTCTTTCTTTGTAACGTCTGTCACTCTAACAGAAATATATAAAATTAACAAATGAACCTTGCTTTGATTACAATATCAATCTGAAATGTATGGCTTTCTGCAATGAAAGTTTCTTTCTTTCTTTGTAACGTCTGTCACTCTAACAGAAATATATAAAATTAACAAATGAACCTTGCTTTGATTACAATATCAGTTCGAGAGGGAAGCACGCAACTGATCCATCAACAAAAGCGAATTCCTTTTATTTTAAAAGAGGCAGCTACGTGAACATGTTTTTCATACAGGTAAATATCAATAAATTGCGTTAAAATTAAAATAAATTGCTGTTAATATCTAAGAAATTCTGTAATTATATATGTATGCATAAACTATACACATATTTACATATAAAACGTATTATTTTTTGATGTCAACGAACAACCGTTGTCACTTTTGTAATGCCAATTAATATTCGTTGTCACTTTCATAACGCTTGTTGTAATAGAGACTTTGTAATCGTATATACAATTATAGTAACGCCGTTGAACATTACTGGAGCCAGACGCCTTCGAATAACACTCACTGGCGATCTATATTCAAATTCAAACAATATATATATATATATATATATTATATATATAATAATATATATATATATATATATATATATATGTTCTTCACCGGTAGCTATGTATTTTAAGTGTTAAATGCAACATATATTTAAACTGTATACACTGTATAAGATATGGACTGCGTCATTAATGGCTAAACAGATATTCTATTAACATTTAAATTATGTAACGGTCAGTTTATACCCAGCACTTGAAGATCGTGCTGTGAATGAAACTCCGTTTGGTGCTACTAGTGAGGGATAAAATCTATAATTATTAATATATACTTAATAGCTCTGCTATATTACATCGAGCCCTGTTTTGTTAACACCAGCACAGTATCTATCTATCTATCTATCTATCTATCTATCTATCTATCTCTCTCTCTCTCTCTCTCTCTCTATATATATATATATATATATATATATATATATATATATACATATATATACATATATATATATATATATATATATATATATATATATATATTTTCAAACACTGTTATTAGTGTATACTCGTATTTGAACTAAACGCCCCATTTTTGTTTTCAATTTCAACAGCGTGTATTAATACGAATACGAGCTGATTATAGTTATCAGGGAAGCAAGTAAGAGGAAGAGAGTTCTGCTGTCGGGAAGTGCGAAAAAAGAATCTGTTGGAGTAGAAGAGGCAGTTACGTTTAACTGTTTCGGCAGTGAAAGGGTGGGACCTAGCTGGCAACCCAGTAGCACGCTTAAATTCATGCAGTTGGGGCACCAGTGAAAGTGCTCGTCAGAGCAATTGCCAGGTCAATACTTATCGACTTCTACTTCAGCTGCGCGTCTGTGTAATATATTATTGCATCTCTACAAAGATGCATCCACATATTTTTGCTCACATTTGTACCTTTATGAAGGAAATGGAATTTAAATAACAAGGAAATAAAGAGCGAACAACTTTCTTTATAGATGAAAACAAAATATCAAACAAAATCTGTGACTTAATCACACCAAATGGTTTGCGATTTCGTTTTCTTCTTCAGCGGATCAAATGTAATTGGCTGGAAATAAGGTGATTGCTACATTGTCGCTGATTATATAACTCAGTTTTCCGGCTAAAAGAAGCCAAGATATTTGGTTTGAAAGCCTGGCGCACACAGAAAGTGAGAATCTATACTTCAGAATGAGTTGCAGATGGAAGAAGATTGAAATTTGGCAATATTGTCTTAGATTAATTTGCCTGCAGAACTGGATAGATTTGATCGTTTGTTCTTTCGTTTGTTTCCCTTTGAACGGTGTTATTTCATTCAAAGATGTCGTTCACCTACTGAGTTGTGTGTCTGTTGGCTGGCTGAAGTGGTTGTGTATCTGAGCGACACTAACCGGTGTCTTCACACTGATTTTCAACGTCGTCAGTTCCTTCAAGATGAGTGGGAGCACATAGCTTTGGGTTTAGCAGTACATAAAATCGAATCGTTGAGCTGAGTTCAAATTTCGGCTGGGATAATTTTTGCTCACTTTGAATTAATAACGCTGGAAAAGGCATGAACACATCTGTTTTCTTCCAGCTAAGGGTAAAATAGGAAATCAGGCTAGATTTTCTAGCATTAGGTGGCAACGAGAAAAAAAAATAAAACTACGTTTGGGTGTGAAGCAGCGATTCCAACCGGTAAATACATCATTTTACTAATTACACCCGAGGTAGTATCAGTCTGATTCGAGAAGCCTGCAGGATCAGATATCAGCTTTTGAGACATGGAAATTTGATATAATATAATCTACTATACTTTATTTTCGCTTCATTTGCCGTTTTACTAGACTAAACCAAGTTTATTAAATATCCACAGGATGCATTGTCATCAGTAAGAGGATGAGCCCGACATGCAATTTGAAGGTCGCGAACACTAGAATAAGCAGACGCGAAAGTTTAAATATCTTGGAAGAGTCTTCGCAGACGGCGGTAAGTACGACACTGAGATCTGTAGACGTATTGGGATGGCCAAGGACACATTCCAAAAGTTGAACAGAGTATTCCGAGACAGGGGGATTTCTTTGGTAACAAAGAAAAGAATACCAAGCTGTTACATGACATCTGTCGTTCTTTACGGCAGCGAATGTGGCTCGATTTCATCAAAGATGAAGAAGAGACTCGAGGCGACAGAGATGTAGTTCTACAGAAGGATGCTAAGGATATCACGGACCGAGCGTGTGTGCAACGATGAAGTCTTAGAGAGGTTGCAAACAAAGAAGAGGCTTATACTTAATATCAGGAAGAGGCAGCTGAAGTTTCTGGAACACATAATGAGGAAGGAAGGCTTGTAGAATCTGATACTCACCGGTCTAATAGAAAGAAAGAGAGGCAAGGGAAGACAACGCGTGGTATACTTAGCGGACTTAAGCAAGTGAACGACAGAAGGTGGTCTGGGGGAGGAAGCAGAGGGAAGGAACTTGTTGAGAGCTGCAAGGGATAGAGGGAGGTGGAGATCTATGATCGTCTTCGTCCTGAAAGAATACGGCACATGAAAAGAAAAAAAAGATTGTTGTTGGCATTTCTCTATAAAAACAATGTAAATATCTCTGTTCTTATCTGTTGATACATTGCTGTTGATTTGATAAAAGAAAGTCATAGAACATCCACACAAGTCTATTACGGAGGGGAAAAATGAACACAAGTTTTATTGACGGAATATGTATAATGAAAAGACATTGCTATTGAATTGTGTATACAAATGCATCGAAAATTTGAAAGAATAGAATTGGTCAAGATTAAATGCAATCACTCCTGTTAGACAGGATAGGGCTATAAATTGTATAATTAATTGCGAACCTTAATTTTATAACCAATTGTCGGCTTTCTAGCAAACTTTTGCCACTTCCCCAGAAATAGAAAATAAAAGTAATTAACTAGTATTTATAAACATTACCATTACTTAAAAAAGAAACATTAATTAAAATTCTTTCTCTCTGAATATTCGAGAGAATGTGACTTTAAGGATGGCCATTAGCAATGCTGAATCATTTTGTCACATGATAGACAGGAAAAATTTGCTTTGTTTCAAAAGATGAAATAGCAATCTCTTTTCACTCATGAATTTCCCGCCCTCGTCGGAACTAGTTCTATTACGAAGCAGCGGATGATGTTTATTATTATTATTATTATTGTCATCATCATCATCATTCGATTTCTGCTATGGACACACTACCTACCAAGTCTGCGGAAAGACCTAAGGCAGGTCGTGGTGTGTTGTTATGGCCACATTTCATGTTAATTTTTTTTTTTTTTTTTTTTCTCCGATGAAGTTGCTAGCGTTACATAGACAAAGTTCTCCTTAGTGTGTGTGCTGTACTTAATAAGACAATTTTCTGTATGTCTCTTAAGCTGGGGTTTCAGGATTCTTTCAATGTGTTGTTTTGTTCCATTTTTTATAATTCCAAGTGCACCTATTACCACTGGTATTATTCTTGTTTTCAATTTCCACATTTTTTCTATTATTATTATTATTATTATTATTATTATTATTATTTCCTTTGATTTCTGGTGTGTACTCATTTCTTTCTGGGTCCCGCCCAGTGACCTAAGGTCAGAAATGGCGTCATGACATTTTCCACTGAGCAGTAAAACAAAAAAAAACAAAAATACACACATATTTTACATAGATAAAGCCATTCGTAAGGCGTAGGGAGTACTCGTAAGAGCACTTTTTATTTCCTTAAGGCATAGGATACCAGGAATCCCTTCAATGTGTTTACTGGATCTTTTCTAATCAATCCGAGGGCCCCAACTACAACAGGGATTGTTTTTGTTCTCATGTGCCATATTTTTGAGATTTTGGATGATTATTATTATTATTATTTTATTTCCATTAATTTCTGTTGTGTGTATGTGTACACATTTCTTTCTGGGTCCGGCCCAAAGACCTAAGGTCAGAAATGACATCATGACATTTTCCAGTACCCAATTAAAAAAAAAGAAACAAAAATACACACATATTTTACATAGACAAAGCCCTTCGTAAGGGGTGGGCTGTACTCGTGAGAACAATTTTTTGTATTTCTTTAAGATATGGGCTTCCAGGAATCCCTTCAATGTTTCCATTAAATCTTTTCCAACCAATCCGAGAGCTCCAATTAAAACAGTGATTGTTGATGTTCTCATGTGCCAG